ACAAGATGCACAGAGAGGACTGTGCGCGATTTATCTTTTCCGTCAGACTGAATCAGAAGGGCTCTCTCTCTCTCTCTGGAAATGCAAGCTTAATTGCTTCCTTTCTCAGATTTTGCAGGTCTTTCAGCGAACCACTTTAATGGTTGTGTAAGGTGTAAAACAAGGTTTTGGGAGTAGCAGCAGCGGGAGCAGCAGCAGCATTGCAGTGGCTGGCTGCATCATCCAGCAGAGTATATTTAACTGACTGAAAAGAGAAAAGGCAGACAGGAATATTTCCAGATCTCTTTTTGCTCTTTGTGTTTTCACAGAGGAGCTGATCAGGTTACCGATAACCTTCAGTTAGCGTACATGATAAGAGAGCTTCTAAAATATCAGCAGAACAACTTTACATATGTGGCTTTTTGCCTGATTCAGCAAACTGTGAAGTACATAGGGAAAATCATGAAATCATTCATTTCAGTCTATATTCTCACCCTATTCCTGGGACTTGTCGAAAGTATAGTTTACTTATGTTATACAAGCTCCAAAGATCATCTTTTTAAAAAAAGGTATATGCAAAGAACTTTATATTCAATTATTTATGGGCAATTGCTATTAACCAGAGAGATACAAACAGCTAAAAAAAACAGCCCTTACTTAGCCCCCCAGCTGTTTTTAAAACACACCAATTCATATTAGGTGCTGTGGAATAATCTGTATACATGAAGAGTGAGATTGCACAAAGGGCACATAACCACAAATGAACAAATTCCCCCTGCTACTACCAAATTGAAATGACTGCACCACTGATGATGAGAGAAACAACAGCGAGCTGCCAAAACGACTGGCTTTGAGTCCGTCTGCTAGTAGGAAATTATAATAATAGTAAAATGATGTTTTTTATAGTCTGAGCTCAGGACGTTTGTCATGCAGAAATGTAGTTTGTGTTGGTCTGAAGAGATGTTTTTTTGTCATGTGGTTTACCCGATGGTAGTTTTCCTCTTGACATCTCCTGGTGAATTATGTCATCTGCTGCAGAACTGTTTGGTGCCAGAGTCAGAGGGTTATAATCAGCTTGATTTGGGAGAAATTACCAGAATAACCAAAAACCAAACACAATTATCTTAAGTTAATTTATCAATAAATGGCCTTTTTTTTATTTCATTCCAACACATCATTATTGTAATATAGTGATATAAAATTACATTTAACATAATGAAGATTTTATCCAAATCAACTATTTCTGATGTTTTATCTATATAGATTTCCACCTAATAATAATATTTTCATTTTTGATACGCACAAATTGAAATATCATAAAGATCATAAATCACATTTAAAAAAAATAATCATACATATATGTCCATATATAGTTCATTTCTTTAAAAGAAACTGCTTGTTTTTTGCCATAAAAAATAACAAAACAAACAACTGTTTAAATCAGAGTTTTGATAATATTTCACATCCAAGCAATCAGATGCTGTAGAAACTTGTGAATCGTGCGCCAACTTCAATTTTATGTGCAATTTGCAGGGAATTATCATTTGTGAAATGTGATTCTCCTACAATCTGTGTCGACAGTGCTCACAAGTCATTTTTGTTAGATGAGCTGGTTGAGGCTGAATGAGCGGGTACAGCAATACTTAGTAATACTTGTCTGATGCTTTATTCATAAAATACACCAAAATAAAGAGTCATTTTACTACTGTAAACTTACTTGGGGACAATTGGCTCATATCTCTTGGGAAATAACTGAGCCATATGCTCTCTATGCTTTTGCACTTGCATAGCAATATTGTTCCACAGTAATCACAACACTTATGAGGCTGTGGAGCTAGCCATAATGCTCAGGCAGGCCTGGGTTCAAATCCACCCCGAGGGCATTTACTGCATATCTGCCCCCTGTTTTCTTTTCTCAGTCCTGTCTTCTCTCCACTGTCCTAACACAATAAATGCCAAAAAGCCCTAAAAAAAATACTTAAAAAAATATGTGTAGCCTGAAGAGAGAGTTAAAGAGAGAGGGAGAAATAAAAAGGCGGCGAAGCGGGTGGTTAAATGATGTTATGAACAAGGAAATAAACAAACATTATTTAAATGCCAGCGTAATATTTTTCACAAATTGACAAACGAGAGTGAGGGAGGGAGGACAGTGGGAAGCGACAGAATGAGGCAAAAGTCATTAGAGAGAGAAAGACTGAAGACAAATGAGGCAGGAAGCACTTGCTTATGTAACTGTCATTGCCATAACACTCTCTGAGCCCCCACGAAGGTCGAGCTATCCATGAGGATGAAGAAGTGCTGGAAGGACATAATTGTTCTATATAATTCAAAGTATCACCACACAGAAAACAATAAAGTCATGATTGGTCACATGGGTAGAGCTTACGTACATTCCCTGCCAAACACGCAGGCACACGGGAAGATGTGAGTCACTGCTATTATTATCTCGGATATTAAAGATATATGAGATATCAAGCAGAATACCACAGCGGGATGTTGTGAGAGGGGAAAGAGGAGAGAGGATTTGTGCGTGTGTGAATTATATATTATGTGCTGAGCTAAAAGTGTTGTTTTTCCTTACAGGTGTCTTCTCTAAAGTTTCAAAATGGAGTCCACTCACCTCTTGGGTGGCTCTAAGAAGAAAGTAAAGATCCACCCTCACACTGTTACAGCCAAATATGCCACCCACACACCCTATGCCCCCCAGCCAGGAGTACACACACACTTTCCCCAACCTGGGGATGATGGCTATGACGATGCTCCATCTTTTGAGGACTTTGGCTCATTCGTGGAGGAGACGTCAGACAAGAAACAGCTGACAGAGAGCAGGAAGTGGCCCCTGACTCTTTTTGGCTCAAGACACAACGACAAAGATACAGCGCACAAACTTCAAACCGTGGGGGGAGGAGAAGGGAGTGAGGGTAGTGCCAAAGCAGCAAAGGGGTCTGGGAAAGGGGTTGGGGAACAGCTAGCCAGTTTCGGCGAGGCTTCTGTGTCTGCATCTCGACTCACCTGGGTGGGCCTGCTCGGTGCGGCGCTGGCACATGGCAGCTTGATTGTTCTGACCCGAGTGGCCTCGGAACGCTTCAGCCTCGGCCCCCTGTTTCTACTCTTGGTTCGGTCCATCGTACAGCTCCTGTCTCTGGCTGTACCACTGCACAGGGGGGAGAACCCTTTTGGGCCCGAGGGCTATCGACTACGTCTACTCTGTTACGGCATCGCCTACTCCCTCTCCCTTTGCTGCGCCTACTCTTCCTTAACATTCGTCTCTCCTGGAAATGCTACAACAACCTGGCGCCTGGCGACCACGGCGCTATCAGCGACCCTTGCCTTCCTGCTCTTAGAAGAGAGGCTGGGATTGGCTGATGGGATCACCATAGCTGCAGGGCTGTGTGGCTTGGGGCTTGTGTTACTTCCTGCAGTAGATGAGACCAATTCAGATTCGCCAACTGATCCGGCTGTGTTCTGGAGGGGTGCATTTGGATGGTCTCTTTCAGCGCTTGCAGGGCTGTGGATGGCTCTAGCATTGGTTGGGTATCGTTCCCTGAAGGAGAGGGTGGGAGTTGGGACTGCTTTGTTCACAGTAAGCTGGACAGGCTGCTTACTTGCCCCAGCCTCTCTGGCCCTGCTACAAGAGGGCTGGTCCTGGCCAATGAGTGTTGAAGCCTGGTTGCTGGTCTTGGGCCTCGCAGCCTGCTCGGTCGTAGCCTTCCTGGGAATGACGCACGCCCTCACCCGACTCCACCCGGCTCTGGTTTCCGCCTCTCAGAGCTTGGAGATACCCATCGCCATGCTCCTGCATCTGGCTGTACTGCCACTGGCTCCCACTGCACCAGAGGTCGTGGGGAGCGTGATGGTCATCCTGAGTGTCTGTTGGCTGGTAGCAATGAAGCTGCTCCCCTCTCGAGTTGGTGGGCGTCGGCCGAGGGAGGAGTATGAGGAGATTCTGGACTCTCCCATCAAATAGACACCTCCTCTCACCTTGCAGCACTGTCGCTCTTATCGTTCAATTGCTCCTTCATGAGATTGTTTCCAGTGTACACGAGAGACTTCTAAGTGTTTATTGAAGCTTTTTTTGGTATCATCCTCTTTGCTTTTGGAAAAGTGCCAACATGGTGTTGTCTGTTACAGTGACCAAGTGATGTGATATTAAAATCTCTGATGAACACAGCACATTTCTGTAGCCACTTGTAATCACTATCACCCTCTTTTCCCCCCACCCCACGTGTGTGTGTGTGTGTGTGTGTACTGAGAACATTTAACAATCAATGTGATGTCAATCACTTTTTGCTGCCAACTGAGATTTGGCCAAGGACTGCTGCCATCTATTTGCCTCTTGGCTGCCAGCAAGACTTAGAGAAAAGAACAGAAAAAAAAAAAACCCTGGAAGATTGGAGGCTAGGGAGAGGGGCAAGACACACAATCAGAGGAAAACAAATGAGGACAGAGGGAGAGAAGATGATGGGATTGGCATACAGATAAGGAGCGGGTGGGTGGGCGGTGGAGGGGTGATGGCCGATGACAAAGCAGAGATGAAAGGGAAGCAGCAGAATGAGAGGAAGTCAGGGTAGCAAACAGGGCTGATGGTGGTTGGTTATTGTGGCGTGTCTGGCCAGCTGGCTGATAGAAACACTGTTTCGTGTGTTGGGGAACGGTTATTGTGTCTAATAACGATCTGCATGACACATAAGCACCATCACTACATTTCTGGGTTGTTCCTCGTCTGTTTTCCTCATCGTTAACCTCCTGCTTTTCTCTTTGTTGCTCTTTTTCTCTGGATATAACTTCCATTCACCAAACCCCCCCATCGCACATCGCACAGATGGAGACTTTTAATGAAAACAGGTGCCTCCACACTGAACAGACTAGCGTGTCTCTGTGCGTATGCCAGGTACCGCTGTGAAACAGGTGTAAAAGAATTGATAGGCGATATAACTTCTACACTCCTCTCCATCTTGTTAGTTGTGTCATCCAAGGAAACGCCTCCCAAAAAACAGTCTAATCCTGCATTTAGTTCTCGAGGCAGCTGTAGATTTAAAAAGAAGCTTTCATGCCCACAAACACTTGGGAACAAGAGTAGGCATCTGAAGACATTCATGCCGCGACTGTGAGTGTTTCACTAGTGAAATGTTTCTGTGATGTCAGTGTGTTGGCCTCATTAAAATACTCTGTTGCTGCACTTTGCCCAGTGCTTTAGTGTGAGTAAGCACTGTGTAAAGGACAAACTTAAGGTATGTTTACTTTCTTCTTCTGCCTTTTAATTCTACACTAGTAAATACCAGAGAAAAACAAAGTGCTTCATGTTCTGCTAAATTTATTTGCTAGCTTTAATTTTTACTTGACTGACTGTGATTTTATATACAAATATCATATTAAGAGGACTGTGAAACAAGTTAGCTTTGCCCTACTACTGATCCATCGATGGATGGTGGATTTCAAGCTCAATGATCACCTACAAATTTAAATGCTGCTGTTATCACCTAGGAGTGCTTTTGAACCACACCGACTATAAATTAAATATAAATTTAGCTAATAATAAAACGTATTTGGTTAGTATGACTTTAATTTGCACTGATGTACCTTTTGCCTAATTTCCTCTTTCATCTTAACAAAACATCCAAACAGAAGTGCAAGTACATTACAAAAAATGAATGAAAATAGGATTTAAGACCAAAAACGGATACACAGACACTGTAAAGTATACAGAAACTCCCTTTAGCCATAACAACAGTCAGTCTTTGTGGTTTTTAATAATGAGCACGCATCCACGTGTTTGTACGAAGCTGTAGGAGGCACTGGTGGCAGTGTAATACTTCTGGCAGGGTTTCACAAATCATAAACACTCCGAGCATCGTAAGTCGTGGCCTCTTTCTATTCAGACACTTTTAAAGCAGTTAATGAGTGGGAGAGACCTGCTATGAATTAAATAAAAATCCCAAACCACTGACACACCTTCTTGTGGGTTTGGGGATTTGTAGACCACACCACAACTACACAAACACCAACGCAAGTGGTGCAAACTTTGGCACTTGGAGATAAAGCACATGTAGTAACCTAGACTAATGGAAGAGTGGGCATGGACATGAACATAAATACACAGTTTAAAATTAAGTGACACTGTGTGGGAGGAGGGAGGAAACCTTTCCACGAGGCTGACTCAGTTGTTTAGTTAATTTTTATTCATTATAGCAAACCCATGACATTTATGGTACATTGAAACTCATTGTCACCAGACAAAAACGATCTCATGTGTAATAGAGGCTTTATAAAAGGCAGAGCGGTAGAAATACAAACAACATGTGCAAAATCATCATCTGCAATAGGAGTTTTCCAGTCAAGCTTTTACTATTTATTTTTCCTTTGGGCAATTCATGTGTCTCCTCTGCCCTTTCCCAGCGTGCCTACCTGCTCTATCACTTTGTTCAGCTGCTTATGAATCCTCTGAAGCTCTGTTGCTATGGCAGCCAGAGCACTTTCCACGGTGACTATGTTCATCGGCGAGGTCACTTCCTGCTCCTTCAGGCCAGATGGGAAGAGCTTCATTCCCAAACCGTCAGGTGTTGGTGTTGGCTGGTCTCTCATGCTGCTGTCAGCAGATGCAGATGAAATGATTTCTTCTAGCCTCTTCAGCCAAGCATCATCCTGGTGCCTACTATGTAGGAGCATCCGCAAGGTTGCATTCAATCTTCTTTCCCTCTCTTCCTCCTCATCCCTGAGATCCACCAAACTCTTTTGCAGCCTAAGACTTGCCTGCTCTGCATGTACCCTGCAAGCTGCCTCCAAGCTGGGTGCACACTGCTGACACATCCCCTTCGTCAGCTTCTCCAGTTGGGTCTTAAGAGACGCCGTTTCCCCGCAGCACTGCTCCACAGATTCCAGCAGCATGTTTTGTCTCATGTGGGAGTCCTCTAGAGCGATAAAAAGTTTATCCCAGCGGGAGAAATCTGTTTGGCATGCTGCGGTGGGAGACTCATCTGCACACAACCACATAGATGCATCGATTATTCATTCCAAAAGGCAATTTAAGCATTACATAGAATTAAAACATGCCATATATAACCCCAAAAAGGAGATTTACTTTATTGTCATAATTTGACTGGACTTTATCAGTGAAACGAGTACACGGAAAGAAGGCAAGAAGGTGTTAAAACTGAGTTTCTGCTAAACATACAGCAGTAATTAGAGTTGGATGTATTTCACAGATATGATGACAGTTTAAGTTTGGACACACTGTGAAGTATGAAAATGGCTTTGGGAAGTTATTCAACGCAGATGTAAAGGTCATAAAGAACACATAAAATACACGTGCTACAATCCCAAAATGACATCAGGGGACCTCATTAATTTAGGGGTACAGCAACAAAGTCTTTGAGATTGGACGCTCGAAGAAAACCGATGCAAAAGAGACCTGACAAACATCAGGGGGGTTAAACTGTGAAATGGTATTTGAGGCTACCAGTTTGCATTCTTTACGTGGACTCAAATCACAGAGGTTGCTTATTGCCTGTGCTCTGTGTTCACGGTATGAGGTATGTGTTCCAGTTATTGGTAAGTCTGTTTCACCAGAAAGTCTGATGCTCACCTGATAAAACTGTGAAAGCCAAAGATGGTATCATCTGAGTAAAAATGTACTTTACAACATCAAATATTTATATGTGGTGCATTATAGTAAACTGGACCAAGAAATACTCTAGACCAAATTTAATAAACACAACTGCTGACCTTTAGACATATCTAAATCAGTGTGTTATTAACAATGTAATTACACAGTAAAAATTTTAATTAGCTCGGTTTTGTAAAGCGTAGTAAAACTGAAGAGAAATTCATCACAATATCAATCTGTTCAAACAATCAGGGAGCAGAAAAGAGAAAGAAAGAGAAAGAAATAAAACTCACCCTCCTGCTGGTCCAGGGGGATCTCATTGTCATAGCTGTCTTCATAGATTCTTTCATACTCTATGTCATTTATACACAACGATGGACCCGTACACAGCACCAGGCAGATCCAAAACACATGCATGATGGAGTTCTTATGCATGTTTTTTCTTAAGATTTGTTGGGTTGCAGCGGATATATCTGAAAACATCAGAATCATCTATCAGCAAGTTTTCCTGCACACTCCAGCTGCTCTGTCTTTTCTTATTCACCTACTTCACTATATGTAGAGCACCTCTGAGTTAGCCAACTATTGGAGCTGCTGGGTTATAAACCCTGAGAGAAGGAAGAAGGGGGGGACCAAGCTGGGGAGGGGAGGGGCGGAGCTGGTTCTGTTGAATGAGTGAGTAATGCTCCAGCGGAGGTAATATGTCATAATTCACAGGGGCTGACAAAAAGCATGCACGATGGAGCTGGACAGGCTATGTACGTTTGTTAAAGTTAAGCCATCTCTAGACTCTGAGTCAGTGTGCTGGCGTAATGACACGTTTACACTGTTGCAGTAGCTTTGACATTTAACATAACTCCAATTACGCCATTTGGCAGACGTTGTGTCATTTTAAAATTTGTCTCCCAACTCAGTTTACCATTTATTATATTATTATTATTATTATTATTATTATATCATATTATTTGTTTAATCAAAGTCTGATATGGAAGATATCTTTACTGATATCTTCCATATTTTTTTCTATATAACAGACCAGTAGTATAATAAAATATCTAAGTGTATAAATGTCCAGGTTCAGTGTAATTATTGCCAGATAAATGCATAGCCTTCAAATTCTTATTCATTAACAACGACATTACATCATCACGGCCATATTTAAATTGATTTGAAGAGATATTTGTATGCTCTTCTAATTCTAATTCAATTCACTTTTATATGTGTAGCACCATGACTTTCGCTCATATTATATAAAGACCTTCAGTGGTCCTCATTGAGCAAACTCCCAGCGACAACAATGAAGCAGAAATCAGAGAGGTGAATTATCTGCCACTTGCAGAAGATATATAGCAGAAGATATATTCTATATCTCCCAGAGTTAGGCAGCTGTCATATTGTTATATTTACAACAAAAATATAACAAGTTAAGCAGAAGCAGAATACCATATGTGTATATATGACATAATAACTACCTAATAAGGAAAAACTCACCTGAAGTCAAAATAAATACAATAAAATCAAATAAGTATAAATTGAAATAAAAATATTACATGCATAATATTTTTAAATATTTCTAAACTAGCAAAACAAAATTTAAATGGCTTGAATGTAGTAAACACAGCATGGTAAATATCATATCAGAGAGTAAGCATAGAGATGAAAGTGTGCAGTAGTGAGACATAAATGCAAAGCAGAGCAGAGGGAAGGTGCTCAGTGCAGGTATCCAGATGCCTGAACCTCTATAGCAGCACGACTAAGGGGGAATTCAGGGTCAACTAAGATAAGCCTAAAGTTTTAATCTTAAATTACCTCGAATAGCTATCTTCTGAACACAGATTGAAAACCGATTTCACTGAAGAGGATTCTGCCTCCCTTATTGCCCTTGGTGCTTTAACAGGTTCATAGAACAGGGTAATGTACTATGATGTCTCTGAAATACAGAGTTTTGTCAATAAGAGTTTTGTATGTAAGGCCACAAATTGCAAATTCTATTTTGATTTTCAGGCAGCTGGTGAAGAGACACTACTATTAGACAAACACGATCTCTTTGCGATTGGTCAGTATTCCAACATTGCAGCATTTTGGAGCTCATCAGGGGCCTATAAGGACATCCTATTAACAATGAATACATAAATATATGTATTAAATTTTAATCTCACAATAACAACTGTCCAGATAAGGATACACAACATGTCTACAACAGCAGCTGGGCTGTAGAACAAAACACTTTTGGTCATTTTAGCCACCAAGGCTCCACAGAGACTAACCTTTTTCAGTGCCTCACCAGTTAAATGAGTTAACCCCCCAGGGACCTTGTGCAAGTGGAAGAAGGCATTCCTAGAAACTTGCTTCTCTGTGTGTTTTAGTAAAACGTACCTTTTTTATGGATAGACTGAGTCCCCATGTACAGTTTGCACAACCATCAGACCTCTAAATGTGGAAAAGTTGCAACACTGAATGGTCTGGATTTCATTATATGCTTGTGAAATAGCATTATTGCATTCTTAGTAAAACCAGCTGCATGTTCAGGTCTCTGATCAACAGGTGTTGTGGCTAAACAGCAGAAGTAGGACAGGTCAAGGTCAAAGGAAAAACCCTGACTCTTCTCCCTGCAGACCTCCAGAGTGACCGCTTTACTGCACATGTCAGCACGTCTGCCGGTCTCTATTCCTGATAGTCTCTGTCTGGGCGGCTATAATTGTAGCAGTGGGAACAACAACTGTGAAGCTGGCAGATTTATTTCAGGAAAACAGAGAACCTGCAGGAAAAGATGGATTGTAGATTTAGAAAAAGATGAAAGATTTTGAGTTGTGGGCGAGGAAACGTACAGAAGGTCAGGTTTGTCTTTCGTCATTATTGCGTATGCAATTCCTTGGCCCATTTCTTTAAAACAGAACTGAATAAGCTCCCTGCAGAGTTACATGTTAGAACTAACAACTGAGCTTTATGAAACCGATAGTGTCGCTATTTTCATCTTCCTTCTTCGATCCCGTCTAAAGGATTTCCACTTCTTTTTTTCCTCTTTATAGGTCATCTTTCCATGTAAGCCATCACATGAGTCATCAGAAAGGAGTTACATTTATCAGCAACTGCCAGATGCTGTTTACCACCCCAACATGCGTACCGCACTGACAGTTTAGCTGTCATGTAAAACACTCCCAGCTGGCAACGGGGGAGGGGGTGATGAGAGATGAAGGGAAGACAAAAAATACAGAGATGTGGGAAAAGATGGAAAGGAAGGGAGAGTGAGAGAAAGATGGTGATGAGTTAGATTTCAAAAGCATTTTTTCCCCATTTTTTTGCTTTTCTCACTCTAATTTTCCGAGCTGGGAAATTAGAAGAAAACAGATCCTGTGATTTGGCTCGTTCTGACGAAACAGGGTTGTTAGGGAAAATGGGACAATGGGTGTTGTCAGCTAAGCTTGCATTAACCAGGCAATTTAAAACAGCAACAGGACTTCACTGTTGCGCAAACCACATGGTAACAGTGCAAAATCACACAGACCATTTTATGAGAACTGAGTGTTATTATTGGGTGTATACGCTTTTTGTTACCAATATGTGGGACAGGGAGGGAAGAAAAACATGCAAATATGGCGCTATTATTAAAATAGAGCATGCCGTAAAACAGTAGAGTCCTTGAAATCATATATCAGACTTATAATAGTGTCTAATCATTTAACATGATTGCATTAGTCATCATTGCATGATTTAATAAAACACCGCACAGGATACAGTGATGCTAAAAATAAACTAGACCCAAGGGTTTACATATCAGGACATAATAAAAAATATCTGGTCCTTAGCGGGTTTTAAAATGAGGTAAATACAATCTTGCGTGAACAAAAATATGCGACATATTACACCATGTTAATATTTACTAAGCTAATCCACTTGTGAATAATCTTTGTTACTATGGAATGATGGACTTCAAATAACTCTTCCAGAATAATGGGCAAAACATGTCTAAGATCACTGCTCATGTCTTTCCTTGGGGCACCGTGTTGACACAGACCTTAATGTTTCAGACATGCAAGCTGCCAAAACGTCTGCTTTTCTAGAGCAGCTAATGATCGATAATCAAGTGCATTTTATTAACAGCACCTGGCTGCTGTTTACGGTCTTAATTGCTGTGTAAGCTGTAAGGCTGTACTTAGTTTCTCCACACACTGCTTCTGCATTTTGGCTTTTTTTTTTTTTAAGATAAACAATGGCTGAACAATGTGTCATGTTTTGTAGTTCACATAAAGATGTAGTTATCTAAATGTAAAACAAGGTAGATGGGGTTTCATTAGAATTTCTTTAGAAGTTTTTTTTTAAATGTATAGGTTATCTAACAATCTTCTTTATAGCTAAGATAGATAGATAAAAGTATCAAAGTAATTAGAGCACCTTACTGTACTTGGGTGAGTGGTTCCAGGTTATGAGCTCAGTCCACTTAGATTTTCTTACTGCACAGATGACATGATGCTTTGAATATCAGTACATCTTCTAATAAACATCAGTCCACCTTCATTATTTTTCTCTGCTTGGTCTCTCAATCAAACTCGTGGTGAATGTAGATAAGGAGGGCTCTTACAGACACTGGGGACATTTGTATTTTTAAGGGAAGACAAATCATGTGATAGAAATAACAAGATAATAAATGTATTATGCAGATTGTTTTCTTTTTATTATTATTTTATTAAGCTTGGGTAGGAAAATCTGGCCTTTCTTACCTTTATCTTTAGTGAATTTCAATGATATTTTTGAATAACAATGCATTAGCATGAGGCCTTTACAGACTAAACTATGGAGGTTTGCACCCATCTGTAACATGTGCCCCTCAGGTAGTGCATCAGAAGAAACCAAATTAGGTAAAAAAAATAAATAAATCAAAATTTTCTTTATCCGTTTTCCCAACTCACTCATCATGAAAAAAGCGTCCCTTTCCTTCCTGTATCAAACAAAAGATTCATACCAAGACTTATGAGAGATCTGCTCAAGGACAAAGTGCGAAAAATATGCTGGAATTGTGACTGGGACTTGTTTTGTCGGTGCAGAGGAAGAACGCTCATGAACATTTAGGGACAGATTTATTTTTCCTTGCTGAGTTGTAGGGAAAAAAATAGCAATGACTGAATCTGCATTGAGCGATGGCTGCACCTCAGCCCCTGTAAAGACACAGAACTGATACAGAGAGGTAAGATATAACTGTTTATAGTGTTAATGAACCGCAGGCTCTGCTTTGATCAGTATCACACCAACTGCTCTTAATCGATTTAATCTATTTGGACAGCTCTAGACAGGAAAAAGGTAAAGTGGGAGTGAAAAACAGACATGCATATGCACACTTTTGTCAGCAATTCTGGGTAACTATTACAGCTTGTGTGCATGTGTTGAAAGGCTGTGATTCATGTAAAACAAAAGGAGATCTCACTCTTGTGTAAAAAAAAGAAAAGTGAAGCAAATCCAGCTTAACTGCAAGCTTGGCAGTGAGTCAGATGTGAAACAAACAGAATTTTTTGGAGGCTTGATTAAGATCTCAGTCTGAAAATAATTGTCACTGCGTGTAAATCTAAGACAGATGGCTGGTATGATGGGAAAGTGAGCTATATGAACTGTGGTTTTAACAAGGAAATTACAGAAACACCTTGACTGGAGAACAAAGATAGACACCACACTTGATTTAGACCGGCATGACATCACTGTTTGCATATTTATTTCCACATCTTCACATGAATCGAGCGCAAACTCAGACCCGCACTGACGTCAGCTCAACGACTCGTGGCTGAATCATGACTGCGTGCGTGTAGTTTGAAACTGGCAGCAGCTCTGATATGAACACTCAGACTACACAAACCCACACACATCTTTACATACTGGGACAAAAGCATTGAGCTTGTAGGCAATTATTTCAGTACAGGCAGTGCTACATTAATATTTGTTTCCATCCAGAGTCCCTCCAGAGTAGACCCACGTCAGGCAGGTCTGCCCTCATGAAGAAAATTAACAACATCTGGACGTGGAAATTTCCACCCATTTGACCAAATGGGGGCTTTAAGAAGGTAAAGGGTGAAAAATGAGTGTATGCGTGGGAAAACACCCAGTGCGCGTATGAAGAAGCACAAAGGTCCAGTCACCTCTGGGTTCCCCAATGCAAATGCGCACAGACAGAAGTGAAACTGTGTTTCGTATGGAAAATTACCTCATGTTTAACAAACAAGAGTCAGGAGGTGGCAGTCACATATATGCACATACACTTCTTTCTAAAGGTGTCACATGTTTGGGCCAAAGTATTACCACAAGTTCACACGGTCACTGAGACACAGTAAAATTCATGTATTCACACCAACACATACACTTGGCACAGAGCTTGATTAGTTCTCACTGACCAGATGTAAAAAAAAAATAAATAAAAAAAGATCAGTTTCACAGACACTAACTGAAAACAACTTTACACTGCAAAATGATAACAGTCTGTTAGCTTCGTCTTCCAGCCTGAAACCAGGAAATGTTACACACAGAACAGACTTTACATCTACCATCATCATGTTCACACAGCATGAATAATACATGGATAAAGCTCAAGTCTAAAATGATTGTGGCACTATATTACGCTTTTAAAAAATAAGCAACTTCAACAACTTCACATTATAATCCCTAAGGGATTAATTAAACTGGAACATGATATAATCACTGTGTATATTCCTAAAGTCAAAGCTGAAATACTCTGGGCTGATGCCATGTTCCCAACCTGCCGTCTCTACTGGCCCACATCCTGATGGCCTGACGAAGATTCCTGGACATCTCCTTCATTGATGCTACAGGTTGCACTGGGTTGTAAAGGCGGTGAGGCTGCTGTTGCTGCACCATTGCTTATTGAAGCTGTTGTATTGAATGTCAGTACCTGGGTAGAAGCAGGAGAAGCATCAGACATCCTGGCCATCCTGCCGGGTGTTTGGAGCTGATCCGTTTGGTTTGGTGTAGAGACACGATCAATCGCTTGAACAGTAGTTGACTGGCTGTAGATTGGTGAATGGTTGCTGGGTGTTTGTCTGGTGGTGGAGATGATGTTGTTGTTATTGTTGTTATTTGTCTGGTGAGTCAGCAGTGCACTGAAAGATGAATCTGCTGTGGTTTTCACAGTTTGGGGTGGTGAGTTTAAAGTCCACGAGTCCTGGTCAAAATCTGGAAGCTGGTGGACGAGCACAGGTAATGGAGTGACGTGATTTGCACTGATGGGTTCATTCGCCTCGTGGTTGCTTGTTGATGGCTGACTAACGGGATTACTAATTGCAGACTGCCAGTTATTGGAACAGAAGACAGCTGGAATGCTGCAGAGAAATAAAACCATAAATATAATCCACTCATGTTCAAATCATAAAGTATTCTTTGTAGTCCCGGTTTCTTTAGAAGATCAAATGTTCTGAATATTTTCTACTTTGTACTGAAGTTATTAATCTGCTTGTTAAAACTTCTAATTTATTCAGTTTCAATTAAAAAGTTATTTGCAAATAACCTGTTTTAGTCACACTGTAGTTATAAAATAACTGTTAAACACCAAAACTGAAAATACATGTTTTCTTAGACAGCCATGATTTGGAGATTCAATGTGCTGTATGAAAAATTACAAACCTAAACAGTTCAAGGTATAAATATAATAAAAACAGAAATTTAATCTCACACCAGAAGGCTCATCCAATCTTTTTTCTAGGAAACACTGCAAAATGAAATCTTGAGACCTTTTATGCAACCTTTCTGCTTTCCTTCACGCCCTACGTGGCCAGGCTCCTGTGTATACAGCTCAGCTACCAAGAGCTTATAACCTTAGTTGGCCTCTCTAATCATCTTATCAATGTATCTTAACTGCTCCTTGCTCTTATTTTAAATCCAGAGCGGACCACACTTCTGATGTTGGAGAGCCTAAATTTTGGAACAGTCTTCCTCGCCCTGTCAGGTCAGGCAAAAGAGTCATTTGTTTTAAAAAACTGCTTTTTCTTAAGCTTTCTCCCATTATTTTTGGCCAGTTGGGCATAAGACTGTATGCCTGACTGTGTGTCTGTATGCTGGAACATGTACATGTATGGTTTAATTCGAACTGTGAAGTACTTTGGAACTGTGTGTTAAAAAGCGCTATACAAATGAAGCTATTCTTCTTCTTCCTCTTCTGAAGATGGAAATGAGACTACACAGACCTGGCCAGCTGTTTTTGCAGCTCCTGAGCATGTTGGTTGCATTGAGCAAAGTAGCTAGCCTGAGCATCCACAAAGTCAGTGAGGCTCCGCATATGGTTGGTCTGTAGAGGTAGATGGCAGGAAAACATATCCAACAAGGTAAAGAGCCACAAGCATTAAATATAAAAAGCAACAGTTCCTTTAAGAAACAGATAGTAAAAAAATAAATAAACACAAATTTGAACTCGTTAAGTGTACGTACATGTGTGTTGCTGAGTCCTTCCACAACAGCTCTTGTGATTTCTGACTGTCGATTGTAAAGACTCTGACAAATCCTCAGCTCCATCTCTGCCTACACATACAAACCCACACACACACAAACACACACACCCCCACACACATCTGTATGGTTTTTCTCTTATTTTTCTACAAACTACAGAAAGGAAATATTGTCTGTGCTAACAGCAGCTCCATATTCATATCAATTACTGCTGAGAGCCTCACTGATATACTGTATGAAGACCATTTCAGATCCTGTGTTCTTTAAACTGATGAGGAACTCACCTGCGAGATTTCCTGAGCCCAGATCTGTTTGCATGAAAGAGACATAAGAAGACAAATGCCTTATTTGAAGGTCGAACACCAATTTCTTCTGCTTCTGTTAATATGCACGTTCCTACACAGAACTGCTGACCTTTAGCCATTTAACACGCAGGAAGCTGAACATGTAGGAGACATGAGACAAGTAGTCATCTTCCAGTGGGTTGGCATTCAGGTTCTGACAAAAAGACAGAAGATACAAGAACTGTAATGTCAAATATCAACATGTTTAGCTTTTAGTCAGAGTATGACTAACTGAAAAGTATTTAATAATGTAAAGGTGTAACTCACTCTGGCCTCTTGCTTAGCCTCGTGGGCTTTTCTCAGCCTGGCCTTAGTGATATCGAAGTCCAAACGTTTATTCACCAACATCTTGCGTTCATTCTAGGAACAAGCAATCTTGTTTACTTTACAAATAACCTATAAACTAAATATTATTTCGGGTGACAGCGTAAAATAACCTAATCACTGCTGTGATAATCACAATAAAGGTGCGAGTTTGTGTGCATGTGATACAGAGGCATGCGTTTACCTGTATGGCTTTGTATTCCCCCTCAGTGAAACTCCGCAGGGGAGTGAGAAAGTGAATGTTAGTGCTTTGGACAAACTTCCTCTCCGCCTCGCCGAGCTGCTTCTGAGCCTCTCCACACCTTATCAATGCAGTACCTGAGCAGAGAAAGATAAAAATACAACACAGTGACTTTTCAATATATTCAATATATACTCATAACACAAAAAAGACAAGAATAAGCAAAGAAATGAACATGTGAAAATAGTTGAGATCCTTCTCGCAGATCAATAAAATGCACGTACTCATTAGCCACTTTATTAGGTATTCTTGCTCAACTGCTTGGTAACCAACCCTGTACTGGCAAACTGCATGTACCTAATAAAATGGCTGGTGAGTGTGTACTCACCATAAGGTGTGTTTGATCCAATCTCCAGCCCGGCCTGAGTCATCTGATCTCCCAGTAACTCAACGGCACGAGGCCGGGGTGGGACGCTCCACTCAAGATGCTGATACAGCCGGTCCTCTAACCGCACTCCTGTGTATCATAGGTCAAAGGTCATATCAAAATTCAGTGGCTACATTTTCTATACACCATGTGACAATTTTTATCATGTACATTTGTTAAAGGATGCACCTGTGACAATACAATTAATTAAAAATGGTAATAAACAATACACACACAACACCTCTCAAAACATAGTTCATCCCTGTGCTAGATTTAAACTGTAATGCATTAGTTTCATACTTTCTTCCACAAGGAGAAGGTCCTAAAATATTGTTTCATATAATAAATATCATTGTGAAAATGATTTTATAAGAAGACTATAAACCCTTGGAAGATAAATTCAGCGAGACATGACCTGAAAATGTATCCTGGATGCATCTGGCAGCTGAATGTACCTTTTATTTGATAGATTGCAGATCACATCCACTCATAACTCCATTAAAAAACGTAATTGGATTCAAACAGGCTAAAGAATAAGCATCTCTATTCATCCGAACAGGCCAATTGCTACCAAAGTAAACAAGAGACATCAAGGAAGATATATGCATGTACTGTGGGAGGGCAAAGAGAGCTGAAACGATTGGTCCCAGAGGTAAAGACTCTCAGCTAACTCAGGACTACAATGGTAAATTGATGGGATTTGATGACTCTGCTTTTATCAGTATGTTGGCAGCTGGAAATTTCTTGGTATCATCCCAGATGCGTTTTCTTCATAAATATTTACAGTTCATCTAAATGCTTCTCATCTTCATTGTAAATGTCTTTAAAAATACTCCATAGAATACCTTCCTTGGAAGAGGGAAACCATCTCCATTACTCTTAATGAGATGATGTTTTACTTTAAAAGAGTAAATGCTCAGATCTTTTTTCTCACCTTTTATATATTTGGATACAGTGAACAGGTTCGAGTTCAGGATCATAAAAACAGGGCTAATTGTGGCAAAAACAGGACCAACTGTTAGTGAAGTGGGTATGTATACATCTGTAACTGCTCAATGAATCAGGGCAGCTTCATTAAATCAATTCATGTTCTCCTACCGAGGCTTGGCTGCAGTAAAGCCTCAGTCTGGGAGATTATCTGGTCCGTCCACGTCTTGGTGGCTTCCGCCCGTGATAAAAGCTCCTCCAGTCCGGGGTCCAACTCAGTCCTCTCGGCCTGTCCGAGACTCTCTCCAGTGTACTGGAGCGAATTTCAGGGTAACATTGATTAACAAACTGCTTAACTGCGCACTTTTCTTTTAGTAAGGGCAGTCGCTGATTTAGGGTTGAGATTAAAGCCCAGGAAAAAC